TACTTCAAGTCCTGTGCAAAAACGCATGATCGCACGGGCCCGCCCGGTGCGTTCCGGCCTGGGTTACTACTTTGAAAGACTGAATAAGCGATTTTTATCAATTATCAAAGCTTTCGAACAATTCTTCAAAACCTGACCCATAACCTAAGCACACTTGTATTCCCAACTAAAAAAGAGCAGCTTTCATATAAATTTTCTTACCACTTGGAAACATCATAAAAACCAAGAATTCATTTGGCGCTACTCGAACTAAAAACACCAGCACTACATTTGAGCTACGAATACAGATATCAGTTTTGAAGGATAGACCAGTCTTGCCGAGGGCGAGTAAAATCCCACCTCTTTTTAAGTTCTCAAAATCGGATCGTCAAGATAACCCGTATGCTGCAGCTTACTAACGGCAAAGCAAAGCTCTCTTTATCCCACCATGTTTGCAAATATACCGCATTCGTTCGGCATTCACCTCATATTTCCCTAATGTGTTTCTTGAAGCAAAGTTTGAAATATACCAATTTATCCGGAGAACAATGAACAAGCAATAGATAACTAATCATAAGCAAATCACTTTTTCCCATTTCTGTGCGGCGGTATCGGCGTTTGCAAGTAAGACGTGACTGGTCGCTTGCTGTCTGCGTTCTGCACAAAATCCTGCAAAATATCGTACTACTTTGATTGAATGTAATAAGTTTATTTACTAGAATATGAACCTTGTGACAGAAACATGAGCCCTGGGCTGATAGATGAATATGTCATATGAATCACCACACACGGGCCTCAAAATTTCAAAATCAATCGCTACGTTTGCTCAAAGAATTTTTTAAAATTGAAAAACTGCTTTTTTTGAGTGGGTAAAGGCTTTTAAGGAAACTCATCGTATTTTTGATAGGTTTAAACCTTATGTGCTTTTGGGGTATAAGGATATAAATTTTTTCCCCTCATTTCCTACTGAAAGAAAATATGAACAGGCATGAGAAGAAACCACCACATCTGTGGACCTAGTGCAAGGAGCTATCAAGGTCGTCGGACTGCCAAGGTAGCGGCATGAGGTGCGAGTTACGAGTCCTCCATTCGCGCCTGGCCAGGCTCTAGCACGACTTACAGCATTCAACCTGGACCTGCGGTACGCAGAATATAAAAAAAGTATGTGGAGCTACTGAAAAAATTTCAAGAATATTCTAAAATTGCTAAGGGGAACATTCGTTAACCTTCAAACGCCGCTTCAGCAGGGCTCGTTTTTCTTCACGTATATCACGCTCTTGCTGTTCACGAAGCTGTTTTTCAGTTTGCGACATAGAATCACTCTAAAATTTTTTAGCTGTAATTTTTAGCATGTCGAAAAAAGTGGTTGCTCTATATGAATCGACGTTAGATACTTCGATAAATTGGATGTACGACCGATCAATTCAAATATCTGAGACAAGTTTCAGAACACCATTATGATCCACATAGCCAAAGGCGTTTTTGAAATCGTGAATAGTAAACGTGAAGGAATTCTTCATTTTTGGCATTTTTATACGTTTTTGCATATATGCAAAAACAGATTTTGTGACAACCCCGGTGTGTATGTGTGTGTGGGTGTGTGTGTGTGTGTGTGCGTCTGCCCGGGTATTTCAACTTGGCACCCAAGCAAGCCCCGGCGCCAAAATTTTGCGAATGGGTTCTCCGGCCAACTGCCATCCTACACCGCGGTACTAACCCTCAAGCACGTCTAGGCCCCGCGTACGAGCGCCTCAAAGTTTTGGCGGGAA